TTTGATCTGTTAACCTCCCGAGGCCCTCGGGACCTCAACCAAACATGCCAACACATCCCATAATATCATTCAAACTTGTTCCAACCTTCGGAACACTCAAAACAACATCAAAACATCAAATCACCCTCGGATTCAAGCCTAAGAACTTAGAAATTTTCAAATTTCGCAAACAATCAAAAAGTCTACCAAACCTCGTCCGGATGACCTGAATTCTTGCACACACGTCCCAAATGACACAACGGACTTACTCCAATTTTCGGAATTCCATTCTGACCCCGATATTAAAATTTTCACTACCAACCGGAAAATGCCAAAATTCTAATTTCGCCAATTCAAGCCTAAATCTACCCCGGACCTCCAAAATACATTTCGATCACGCTTCTAAGTCCCAAATCACCTAACAAAGCTATTCGAACCATCGGAATTCACATCCGAGACCTTTTTCACATAAGTCAACATCCGGTTGACTTTTCCAACTTAAGCTTACTCAAAAGAGACTAAGTGACTCATTCCTCTACAAAATCACTCTCAACTCGAACCAACCATCCAAATACCACATAATACAGCTGAACAGGACATAAAGAAGCAGAAATGGGGGAAACGGAGCGGTAACTCATGAAACGACCGGCCGGCTCGTTACAGTATTGAAGTATATAGCAATATGAACTCACATCTTTAAAATATAATGAGTTCAATGCTAAAAACCTTAACTGTTGAACCCATAAAAGTTAAATCCTAGATTCGTCTTTGATAAGGTCTGCATAGACACTACCCTCTCCAAACCTCCACCTGTAGAAATATATTGTGTATTTTGTTGTTGTTGGTATATGCATCAGGTATTTGAAACCTACTGGCCCACCTAATCCGAATTCGCGCGCTTTGTGGGCTCACTAAAAGAGAAGTACCTCCCTTTTTAGGACTTAAATTCAAGACTTCTAGTTAAGGTCGATGCGTTTCATACGTCCCACCATACTTCTTAGTGGTAGATGACAGAATTTTACAAATTTTTGAACGTTTTGTATGTAGTAGATGTCCAGAAATTGGAAACCTAATGTATTATTTTGTTTAATTTTTTTCCAGAAACCACGAGTTTTTGGCCGTTTAAACTAAAAATGTAGGAATTAGCTGCTACAAGATTCAACAATTTGATAAAAAAATCATCTTTTAAAGTTACAAATACTACTGGTCATGTTGTCGCAGAGGTTAGTACTTAGTTCTCTGAATTTTCACAGCGTAAATATATGTGTATTTTAATTAATTTGTTGTAGCGCCTTTCGCTATCTTCCAGCTTATTATTCCAAATGGTAGGCTATCTGCATCACACCCTTTGGGGTGTGACCCTTCCTCGAACGTTGCATGAACGCAAAATACCTTATGTACAGGGATACCCTTTTTTCGATAGCGTAAAAATTTGTTTATACTATATAAAAATTAATCTCTTTTAGCTATATATGAAAGAGAAAAACATTAATTTCTATGTTCTAATTTTTGGTGATTTATAATTTGTAGGTAAAACAGAAGCAATCGTCAAGAGGATTTGCCTATGGTGATGATGTGTTAACTCTTGAAGTTGAACCAATTATAGATCACTCCTTAATTGTGGCCCTTGTGACAGTATGCGGTTTGATTCATGGCAACCTAATTTTTTTTATTTAATACATGTATATTTCTGTCAATTGCCTGGAAATATTAAAAACATCTAATATTATTCAACAAATAAAAAAACATTTCTTAGCCGAATATTATAGGTACCTTAATTACTAAAAAAAATGAATTGGATATATAATACATCATATTTCATTGTTCATTGTGTTCGTATGCATATACATATCACCTAAAAAATAGAACATTAGCCTTTAATTTTTCCTTGATCGACGCCATTTAAATCGTTTAAGAACCATGTCCCTGTTATAAGCAATAGTTGCACCAATATGGATGAAACCAGTTTGCCCTACACAGTTGCAACAGTACTGATGATGCCGCGCGTATTCACTATTTTTATCTCTAAAATGTTATGACATGTTTAAGATTATACTTTTTTTATAATTATTTTTCTCTTATGCTTCGTATCGAATTATATTTTATATATCGAAAAATTTTAGTAGCTAAGTTTGTTAGTTATCTAAGGCAGAATAGAATGGCATCTATACTTGTGCCACTTTATCATCCCGGTCCTTATATTCAATAAAGTTTCATCTAGACACCTGAACTCAGTCAAAATATGTATTTTAAACCACTTTGGCATGAAGAAAATATCATGTCCACATTAGATAAATCAATGCCACATCTTTATTTATTTAAAAATTAATTTTTAATAATATTTCAAATCCATCCCCATCTTCCTATGCTGTCGGCGACACTTATCACCGGAAAACAACCGGAAAATCGGAGTCGCCTCTATCGTTTTGCTCTCTTTCCTCCTTTTTGAGCACAATCTTAAACCGGAAACTATTCAATTTTGATAAATAAAAAAAAATATCCTACTTCATCTCTTTACTCTCACTATTTTAGGTAAAACCAGTGTAATCTTAGAATTTACTGAGACGCAAAAAGGGGCAACAACCAACGAGCATCGTACCATCACTAGAAAATAAAGAACTATATCGCTGGAAGTATTTCACTGTCGACCAGCACAAAGCAAAACCAGATCGTTGGAAAATAATCACTACTGCACTCCACTACCTATTTCTCCACTCACCGAACTCTTTTGGAAAACCCATGACCACAATGGATAGATGAACACGAAAATTACTTGGCCATAGCTTTTTGATATCTTTAAAAACTTTAACCTCATTAACAAATCTGCTTATTTAGCTTCCCTCANGGGAAACAGTACTTACTACTTAGGTTGGGAAATTAATTTACTCTTTTTCTTTTTTATGGTTATTCTTTATTATTTTTAATATTTGTAAATCAAAACAAATATATCCACTCTCCTTTTTAAAGCGTGTCATCACTTATTTTTTTGACTCAGCAAAATGAATGACACATAAGCTCAGTCAATGGTCAGAGGAGTTTAAAATACATGTTTTGACTGAGTTCAGGTGTCTGGATGAAACTTTATTGAACACAGGGACCGTAATGACAAAGTGGCACAAGTATAGGTGTCATTTAGGCTATTCTGCCGCTATCTAATGAACTTTTATCTTATTTGTAAGAATTCGATGCATCTTGTAATCACTACTAGAAATTCGGGCAAAATCGCTCCAAAAAAAACGATCAAAGTTGGTCGATAATGGCCAATAACCATTCAAAACGCGACCATTTACGTGTGGACGATATTTTGAAGGTCGGAAGGGCATACCGACCAAAGTTAGTCGGAAATTACCGACCAACTTTGGTCGGTCAATTAAATTCAAAAAAAAATTGCCGGAAAAAAAACCAAAGTTGGTCGGTATTTTAATTATGTAATTAAAAAATGCACCATCTGAGAATCGAACTGGGGTCTGTAGTGTAGTAAGATATTATTCTACCACTAGACCATTGATACATTTTGGTTTAAGACAGTCTTTTATTTCATTTATACTCTTTAATTATATTTTCGCACGAAAATAACCGACTAGAGTTGGTCGGTTTTATTAGAAAATAATATTGTCGATCATAGTTGGTCGGTTTTTTAAAATGACCGGCCGAATTAACCGACTGATTTCAGTAGGTTTTTAAATATTAATTTTAATTTATATTAAATGAAAAACTGACCAAAGTTGGTCTGTTTCTCAAAAAATAAATTTCTCGGGACCCAAAATAGTTTCTCGCATTTTTGTGCCAAAGAAAACCGACCAAAGTTGGTCAGTTTCGTAAAAAAGAATTAAAAAATAAAATATTTTGAAAAACCGACCAACTTTAATCATTTTTTTGGTCGGTTTTTTAACCAACCAAAATTGATCGGTCGGCCGTGATCGGGCTTTGCCGAATTTCTAGTAGTGAATCTTATTCCTCATTTCTCCTTCTCCTACTCCGCACTATCTATAATTTTTATAAATAAAAAAAAAATAGACTATATCATATAACTTGAACAAAGAAAGTACAAGTTAAATTGGTGGGCTATTAGTATAGTAGGAACGTAAGAAGGTCGAACACGACAGGGTCGCTATTGCCGTCCAGCAGCTTGTCTTTTACTAAAATGTATACAAATATTTTCCACGTAGTCTGTTTCCAAAAATAGTAGTACTAAACTACAATAAATTTATCAACGAGATTGTTGTTTTTCTTTCTACACAAACAGAGATTAGAGAGAAATTCAAAATTTGACGTTTATGAATTCTAAAATTTAAAATTTACGGCTTCTGAATATATAATATTTAGTAAAATTCTCAACAAATATATAGGGGTTGGAACAAAGTTATTTGTTAAGTCGAACTTCTACTTTTCATGCTAGTTTCGCTCCAGGTAGATGCAGATCCGAAATTAAAATTTAGTGGACTAAACTCATATATTTTAAAAATATTTGGGTTTAATATTTAATATTTTTTTGAAATTTCAATAACTTTTATATATATAACTATGTTTTGTGTGTTGAAGATACTTATTTCAGCTAAACTCATAGTCAATAAACTCAATCCATCTCTGATAGTGCAAACTACTACTAAAAAGGATTTCCAACAAAGTTATTGGTTCAGTCGAACTCGTATTTTATATGCTAGGTTTGCACCTAGTAGAAATAGATCCGAAATTTAAATTTGATGGACTGAACTCATTATATTTCTTAATCTTTGAATTTAATATTTAATATCTTTTTTGAAATTTTAATAACTTTTATAGGTATATTTACCTTTCATGTTGAATATACTTAAAAGCAATTTAGTGTCTACTTTTTTGGAGTATACAATCATTTAAAAGTAAAAAAATAAATGTTGTTTAAATTGAATTCTCTCTAGCTAGTTAAGGTAAATAGGCAATTGTGGAATCATTTGTCACAAAAATTATATAGTAAACACCTCCAAAAAAGACATGGATTTTATATTATCAATGGAATAAAGAATACACTAAGTTACCTTATATAAATAAAGAAACATTTAAAAGCAAACAAATAAAAGAATATGGTGTATTGTACATTTGAATTTCCCTTTACAAAATTAAGCCCTAAACAAGCTTGTTAAGGAGAAATCACTTGTATAGTTGTATGTTTGACGTTACAATCTTGATATTTACAAAGAGATCAAATATAAAATGTATTCTTAAATCAGAATGGTAGTTCATTTATTGGTCTAGAAGTCGATGAATCTTGAAATTCTATAGAAATTTACTAGTCCCTCGGGGACATCCGATAGAATTGGCTCGATACCAAAAAAATTAATTAGCATGATTCATGCGCGAGAATGACACGCATAAATCAATAAATTTTATAAGAAATTGTTGGTGTTGGTCATAATTTGCCATGAATTAAGCCACATATTGTCACAAGAGCCACAATTAAAGAGTGATCTATATTTGGTTCAACTTCTAGAGTTAACACATCATCACCATAGCCAATTCCTTTTGATGATTTCTTCTGTTTTACCTACAAATACACCCAAAAAAAAATTAGAACATACAAAAAATTTTACACTGTCAATATATATAATTATATTCATATTATTTCTATGAATGCGAAAATTCAAAGAATTATATATGTACTAACCTCGGCAACAACTTGGCCAGCAGTATTTGTGACTTTAAATGATGATTTTTTGTCCAATTGTTGAATCTTGTAGCAATTATTTCCTACATTTTCATCACATCCAACATTACATATGACATCTTCTCTTGAAAACATGCCATTCCTCCTTACTTGAAACAATGGCCTCCCTTTTATTCCACCACAACCATAGCCATTCCAACGACCAAGAACTCGTAGTTTCTGAAGAGAGAAAAAAAAATAACTTTAGTACAAAAATTAAAAAAAATATACATTTAGTTAAAATAAGCTTAAGTTCTCAGTAGTATTTCGGATGGTGTAAAAAATATTTAGACAATCAGATTAGTGGTAAGATAATTACTCATAAATCTCTATAAAGGGCAGCCTGGTGCACTAATACTCCCACTAGAGGTCCGGGGAAGGGCTGGAGTGATACCCTAGGCGAATCTCACATCGACAAAATACGGAAGAGATGCTGGATATATAGTAGACAGGTCTTAGACTCTAGTGACGCGTTTTAAACTCGTGAGAGCCTAGGCCCAAAGCAGACAATATCAGTAGCAGGCTGGGTTGTTACAGCTGGACCACAAGGATCTATTGTACGCAACCTTACTCTGCATTTCTGCAAGAGACCGTTTCCACGACTTGAACCCACGACCTCTTGGTCACATGGTAACCTAGCAATACATGGTAACCTAGCAAAGATGTTGAACGTATGATCACATGTTAAACTACGTATATATACTACAACAACAACATATCCAATTGTGAGATGGTAATGAGGCTGGTGGGTGTACGCAAACCGTACCACTACTTTTGTGAGATAGAGATGTTGTTCCATATAGACCCTCGAGTCAAGAAAAGTATTTTTTAAAATATGTTAAACTATATTAATAGTGTAAAAATAAAGTTTATAGTATCCGTGCATATAGCTTAAATCCTATTTCAATTTGTTGAAATATACATGCAAAACATTCAAAAGATAGTGAATTTATGTCATGTTTTACCTCTCTTTTAATGGAGAAGAGAACTTGGCCTTTGAGATCCATTAGACAAACTTCATCTCTACAACTTTCTTGGTAATTATCAACTCTAAAAACAATTTCACCTTTAGAATTAAAGACAGTACAACCATTTCCATGGAAAACTAAAGATTTCATCCATATAGTAAATGTTTCTCTTATTGATGTCACATAAGGAGACGACGACGAAGAAGGAGAAGAAGAAGATTGTTGTAACAATAATTCCGGACAAATTTTAGCCATAATTGAAGCTAACAACAATAACTACACTTCAGTTCCAAACTACGACTCAGTAGTTTGAAGGAACAATAACAACAATAATTATGCTTCAGTTTCGAACTACGCCTCAATAGTTTGAAGAAACAATAATAACTACGCTTCAGTTTCGAACTACGGATCAGTAGTTTGAAGGAAGAAGATGCAAAAGGTAGCAAAAAGCTTTAGGAATGGTTTCACTCAAAGAATAAATGATTGGGGAAGATAATTGAAAGGGTTTATATAAATCTATTTTTGAATAATATATTGACTATAGAACACGTCTCTGTACAACTTTGACGAGGATTTCTTCTGTGGCGGATTCAATAAATAAGTTAGTTGGTTATCAAATTCAGTGATGTGATGTTTATATATATAATCATTCAGTTATTAGTAATTTTATTTCACTGAGCATATTTATTCTTGAATTAAAATAAAATATGTGGTTTGGTCCATTTAGATAGGATATATGTTATATATTTAGATTATTTTCGATATTTATACTACCCTCAAACAAGAAGCAACAGTAATAAATGTAACATTATATATACCTTATTAATTAAATGTTTTAATAACTAATAACTCGTTAAATTTGAAGTACATATTTCAAATAATTAAATTAATGTTAAATATGTTTAACCAGATATTACAAGGACCAAAAATATTAAAAGAGTATATTTTTCTTATATATATGTACGAAAATCTAGCATAAATAGAATTACATGTACATTTTAGAATAAATTTTACCAACTCATAACACATAGAGTCTAAATTCTTGATATGTCACTATTTCTTGAATTTTCTTTGTTATTGCAGTTTCCACTTCTCTATTATGTCGTTCGAGTTCTTTTAAAATTAAAGGCCTTCAGGTATGTATCAAATTCTCCAAAAATAATGTATTTGTTAAGGATTCAATATCAGTAGGAGTCCAATTGCATTTTTGAAGAGTATGTTGGAGCTTGAGTTAAGGTGTAAAGTGAAATAGAGAGAAAAGAATTGGAGAAAAACGAAATGTATTTATATGGAGAGACACTTCTTCTAGCTCTTAAAGAGTAAAGAAAAGAGAAAATTTTATCATATCATTGTCATCGCTAGCTCGGCTTTGGATTCGATCAAAATGATTTGATTGATAAATTTTTTGGACTAAATTTATTTTCTTTTCCATTATTTTTTTATTTTTTCTAATATTATTCGCGTGCGGTTTGAATATTTCTGCCAAACAGAAACCTATTTCCAAACAAGTTCCTTTGCACCTGTTGAGTCTCTAACTACTTGGCTATAAATTTAGAGGCTTGGCCTTATTTTTACACCGAAAATTTGAAGACACTCTCCCCTCTCTCTTCTGCATATTGCATATTCTCAAAGCACAAAAAGTAAGTGTTAGTATAATTTGTTGCCGTTTGTTGAGTTCTCGAAATTCTGTAATTTCCATGTCATGTTGTTAGGTGTTGTGCTGATTTTCTTACCATATTTGGTTTTTCTATCTCTTGAAAGAAAGGGCAATATACTTACCATAATTAGGTTTTCCTTCTTGTAAAAGAAAATTATAAATCTCTCATGTTTGGCTAGTCCTTTTCTTGTAGGAAAAGGTTTGGGCTTCTATAAATTGAAGATCCTTCCTTCTCATTCAGTAGCATCCACAATGTAGTCATAAGGGGTTTGAGAGTCATGTTTATGGGGAGAACTTTACGGGACAAGTGTTAGTATGTCACTTGTGGTTGCCTCTTCGTGAGATTGTTCTCTCGTTATTTTGTACTCTCTTTTATATAGTGGATTTCTCATCTTCATTTGGGGGCGTAAGTCAATTAACCGAACCTTGTTAAATGTTTGTGTCTATTTTGGTATATTTCTCGTTTGTTGTATGATTTATCATCGTTGAAGGTTTGTTTTACTAGCTTCCGCATGAAACTTGACTTATTTCGGTCCTAACAAGTGGTATCAGAGTGAGGTTCAAGACAGGTTCATCTTGGCGAGTTCAGTTCTAGCCGTAACATATTTAACGATAATCGTGATTTTTGTTTGAGAAATTTGACCAGTGTGCTACGCACGTTCAGAAATATTTTGTGGTGGAGATTTGGAGATGCGACCTGTTGAAGGCTATGTGAAGAAGGTGGATCAAATTTATTTTGTCAGAAAATTCAGGCCAAGGGGGAGAGTTGTTAGGTGTTGCCCTGATTTTCTTACCATATTGGGTTTTCCTATTCTTAGAAGGAAACATAGAACATTTAGCTAGTCCTTTTTCTTGGAGGAAAAGGTATGGGCTTCTATAAATTGAGGATCCTTCCTTCTTATTCAACATCATCCACAATGTAGTCATAAGAGATTTGAGAGTTGTGTTTAGGGGGAGAACTTTACGGGATAAGTGTTATTGTGTCACTTGTGTTTGCCTCTATGTGAGGTTGTTCTCTCGATATTTTGTACTCTCTTTTTATATAGTGGATTGCTCATCTCCGCTGTGGACGTAGGTTAATTGACCGAACCGCGTTAAATATTCATGTCTCTTTTGGTATATTTCTCTTTTGTCATGTGGTTTATCGTCGTTCAAGGTTTACTTTACTAGCTTCTGCATGACACCTGACTTTTTCGGTCCTAACAAGTAGTATCAGAGCAAGATTCAAGACAGGTTCATCTTGACGGGTTCAGTTCTAATCGCAACCTATTTGACGGTAATCATAATTTTTGTTTGAGAAATTTGATCGGAGTACTACTCACTTTGAGACAAACTTTGCGATGGAGATTTGGAGATGCGGCATGTTGAAGGTTATGTGAAGAAGGTGAATCAAGTTTATTTTGTTAGAAAATTTAGGCTAAGGGGGAGAATTGTTAGGTGTTGTCATGATTTTCTTACCATATTTGATTTCTCTATCTCTTGAAGGAAAGGGCAACATACTTACCATAATTAGATTTTCCTTCTTGTAAAAGAAAATTATAAATCTCTCATGTTTGGCTTAGTCTTTTTTCTTGTAGGAAAAGGTTTGGACTTCTATAAATTAAAGATCATTCCTTCTCATTCGGTAGCATCCACAATGTAGTCATAAGGGGTTTGAGAGTCGTGTCTAGGGAAAGAACTTTAGTAGATAAGTGTTAGTATGTCACTTGTGTTTGCCTCTTCGTGAGGTTGTTCTCTCGTTATTTTGTACTCTCTTTTATATAGTGGATTGCTCATCTCCATCTGCAGACGTAGATCAATTGATCGAACCACGTACGTTAAATGTTTGTATCTCTTTTGGTATATTTCTCGTTTGTTGTATTATTTATCGTCGTTGAAGGCTTGCTTTACTATTTTCCTCATGAAACCTGACTTATTTCGATTCTAACACATGTATTACAGAATAATATTTCTTTCTATTTTGGGATGAATTAATCCAAAACCTTGACAATTACAAAAATATTAAATTTCTTAAGGAAACACAATTTGTTTATGTTGTTTTGCCTTGCACAAAGATTTTAAACATAATCCAACCAACATAATTTCTTGACGAGCTGTAAAGTAAAGCAGGATTAATGTTTTGTATATTAATTCTTGTGTCCTTGACTCCTTGTCAATACCCTACATATTGATGCTTTTCAATCGAGGTTTGAAAGTCTCGTGACTCTGGTGGTGAACTACTACGTAAATAAGTAAATTCTTATTTAATCCAGCTTTGAATTTTTTGTCTTGTTAGAAATTATATTATTTAAAGGAAAACGAAAGTTTTGACTAAGTTTAAATGACTTACACTAATTCCTTTTTTTTCCCTGGACTCATTCCTTTTTAGGAGGGTCAACATATATACACGGTTTGTGTCTTATAGATATGCACGAATTTGTTTAATCAGTTTTCCAGATTGAAACATTTTAAACTAAAATCAAATCGAATTAGGCCAAATTATGATTTATTTAAATTTAGTTTACAATTTCAGCTGAGAATTAAAATCCAAACTGATGAGTTCGAGATCAATAATATTTAATATATATATA